TCATCACTCAAACGTATCGAGAGCAGGCCGGGCATGTTCCCCACAACTGCGCTGACGCAGTCAATACAATTGCATTCTCGATGTGGTAGTGTGATTGCAGTAAATTACCTGATAAACCTGTACCAGCGAAGTATAATTATAGAGCAACGTGTAACATAGTGTGTTGGTATCAGAGTTTTAACAGGCTGTGTCAATAATTAGGGTATACTTCCTCATTCTACCCAGGTATGTTGACACGCATGTGTGTATACCTGGGCACCCTGTCTGTGTAGGCAGGTGCGTGTCTCTCTATGTTTCCATTCATGTGTCTATCTATGTATATAAGCATGCATCTGTCTGTGTTTATTTGCATGTGTTTGCCTATGTATCTATTCATTGTCTGTGTACATATATACATGTAAATATCTATGAGTAAATATATATGTGTCTGTATATGTATTGGACCGCCTCCGTGATCTAGTGGTAGAGCGTCCACCCGGAGAGCGTAAGGTCCGGGGTTCGATCCCCGGCCGAGTCATACCAAAGGACACTAAAAGATGGTACTTGTTGTTATCCTACCTGGCGCTCGGGGTTAAAACAAGGAGTGGACGACTCAGAGTCTGTATATTGTGTTTGAGTGTCATATTCATGTTAAACTGCGGCATGGTACCTCAGTGGGCACGCCCTTGTACAAGCAGACACACACACACACATGTACATGCACGTCGTTACATAAGTGCAATAATTTTGAACGCAATAATCACCTCACCACATATATATAGAGAGAGAGAGTGAGAGAGAGCGAGAGAGAGAGAGAGAGATATGTGTGTGTGTGTTTGCATGTATCTATGTATGCATATGTGCAAGAGCCTATGTATGTGTATATATGAATATATACATGTATCTATCTATGCACTATCTATCTATATGTATATATGTGCATGTATCTCGTTATGCATCTGTGCATGATCATATATATGTGCACATGCACATGACCATATGGCCTGTTAGCCATAGCGGGCCTGTTGGTATACTCATTCTGCATCACATTCACAAACTACTGTAAATAAAAGCGACAAAACCCTTTCCATAATCACAAGAAATCTCTGTCCATTGAAAGTCCATTGTATGATTCCGACTATATCATGAGTCTGTGTTTATGATATTACTTTCAAACAATGATGCAACCATGTGTTCTCGAAAATCACTGACGATGAAACCAGATACCCTACATGAACACTAGCAGTTTGGGAAAATCGAGAATATTATCTGGTAACCCGAGAAATATTTAACGAAACCAAATAGAAAATATTAACTAGTTTCAATTTTCCGCCGAAACATATTCCATATGGGCGTAAAAGTCAAAATAGCGGTGACAATTATATGAATGGATCACTTAAAATCATTGATGACACCAGGTTTTCGCGAAAAGGGTAAGCATGTCCTACCATACGCCCGCCACTCACACAAATTGCATAAAAATGAAATCCGAGAATAGAAATGATAGTATAAATACGTGGCATATCACAAAGACTGTCTATTACCAAACTGTAACAAGTGGTCGGTGATGTGCCCACAACAGATTACAGCAGGTCGCCATGACTGATGGGAATCGTGTAGGTTCATCTTAGCAATGATAGTAACTGAAAACTTTAAAAGTGAGACACCCTAGCAATACCAACAAAGGCAATACGAATGTAGTTAAACAGACCACGTTCCAAACGTGTTACTATCTTAGTGATACGGATGCACTTTACCAGTCACCGTTCAACACGTGTAACATTTTAGTGGTACTGATTTAGTCAATCAGACCTCGTTCAACACGTGTAACTATCTTAGTGATACGGATGTAGTTGACGAGACCCCGTTCCAAACTTGTTACTATCTTAGTGATACGGATGTAGTTAAACAGACCACGTTCCAAACGTGTTACTATCTTAGTGATACGGATGCACTTTACCAGTCACCGTTCAACACATGTAACTATCATAGTGATACGGATGTAGTTGACGAGACCCCGTCCCAAACGTGTTACTATCTTAGTGATACGAATGCACTTTACCAGTCACCGTTCAACACGTGTAACATTTTAGTGGTACTGATTTAGTCAATCAGACCTCGTTCAACACGTGTAACTATCTTAGTGATTCGGATGTAGTTGACGAGACCCCGTTTATACATATTGATTGAGGTATTATACATATTGATGGGCAACATTCTATCAGCCATGCTATCAAGGTATTATACGTATTGATGGGCAACATTCTATCAGCCATGCTATCAAGGTATTATACGTATTGATGGGCAACATTCTATCAGCCATGTTATCAAGGAATGATAGTTGTTGATGGGCAACATTCTATCAGCCATGCTATCAAGGTATTATACGTATTGATGGGCAACATTCTATCAGCCATGCTATCAAGGTATTATACGTATTGATGGGCAACATTCTATCAGCCATGCTATCAAGGAATGATAGGTGTTGATGGGCAACATTCTATCAGCCATGTTATCAAGGAATGATAGTTGTTGATGGGCAACATTCTATCAGCCATGCTATCAAGGTATTATACGTATTGATGGGCAACATTCTATCAGCCATGCTATCAAGGTATTATACGTATTGATGGGCAACATTCTATCAGTCATGCTATCAAGGAATGATAGTTGTTGATCTGCAACAATCCATCGTCCGTGAAGTTATATTAAGCACACGGCTTGATTTGTATACTGCATAGGACATGTTATCATGGCAAGATGTGTGTTGCTCTGCAACGTTCCCCATCCACGTTATCAAGAGTTGATGGGTGTCGATCTGTATACATGCAACTGGCTGTGCTCTCATGGACCTTCATACATGTATGTTGATTTCTATATGCCCTTCCTGGGTAATATTCTCTGCGATATAAATAAAAAAAACACTAACGTCCCTCGTGTGTACAAGGAAATAGTGGAAAGGGTTGACTGGGCATCAAGAAGCAGGCCGTCCAAGTGCTGCACGTCAAATGTCGATAACAATATCCTTAAGCCGAATGCGGGATCGATTTCAGATGATTGACTTTGGTGTAGCTCCAACACACAATGCTGGAAAGGTTGATGTGGTGCAATCAGATCAGTTTCATTCATGTCTACCTTCTGATTGAGTTACATCACTGACGGGGCACATCCGTGACGTGTTTCATTAGATGTGTGTAATCTCACAATGATCGGTGAGGGATTACTTGTTTTGTTGTGGATGTCAATAGATAGAAACTAATGTTACACATATCACTGTATAAAATGTGTATGCTTAGTTGGATCATTATGTGGCTTTTATTTGGTCGTTTGTGGTGGTCTAATAATTGGCAGTCTGCTGTGTAACAATATGATCACAAACAATGAGTCCCATGATTGAATTCTCCTTCATGAAATAATCGGTTATTTCAGAAAAATATAAGCGACAAAACACAATATCATAAACATATGAAATATCCGCTAAAAGCAGAGTCTCTTTTACGATATATGTAACACCAGGTGTTCACGAAAATGTGAGCGTATCCTGCCCCACCGTGCCGATGGCACCCGTCACACAAACACGCAAGGGATAGTAAAAAAACATAACAGTAACATATGGTACAAGTACAAATAGGGAATTGCCTCGGACATCATTTTTGTCACTGATGCATAAAATTTGAAAATGTCCTCGACACGTCACCCTAAAATATTTTGAAAGCTTCACTGATGTCTTGCATAGACCAAGTGGTTTCATGAAATGATTGAAAAGAATGTATCAAGATCTCTTTTTCCGATACAAAGTAGACACTTTGTACTATTTCATGAATTTGATACTTTGGTGTAAAGTCAATTCAAACTAAACTATCTCTGAGAACTTTACAGCTTGACTGCATTGCTTGGGCTTAAACATATCAACATCCACACTTTCAGTCACACTCATGAGTCAATGTATGTACTGTACCAGCGATATGTGTGAACTACCGTAATTGTACATATAAAAGCAAAAGTATACCAATAACATTTTCAAACATGAACTGTCGTTTAATTTGGCTTAGGTAGACCCAAATAAATACACTTTTATTTGTACGTTTTTATAAAGTTTTTAAATTCAAATTACAGTTTAAAATTCAGCTTGGACATTTTGTGTGTTTAAATAAAATTAAAGTAAACATTGTTTACATCCATTAACCCTGCATCAGGCTAGGAACTGCCAACATCGTCACGACCAGAAGCGAGTACATGTCCTTAGTCATTTCGCATTTTGCAGGTTGCGCAATGTACACTCACACAATGTACCCTTGTATTCTCCTCGTCATCTCAAAGGCGTGACGTGATAAATTAAATTCGTGTGGCCATGTCAATATGAACTCACAGACAGTGTCAACATTAGGCAAACATATCTATGCCTAGCATGCACCCTTTACAAAACACCACATTGACTTGAGTGAGTGATATTATGAGTACTAGTATATAACTAATTAAGCTTGTTTCAAAAACAGTTACACATATATATTTACTGTTATTTGTGATTACCATGTGCAAGACAATACGTACAGAGGCAAGGAAATAGATACACCTTCCCTTTTCAATAGAATCTAGGAATTACACATGATCATGATATGGATACAAAAATAACTTGTTTGTCTATCCATATACATTACATGTGTTTGTGTATGGCTGCGCCGAGAAGGTGGTTGTTAATACCCTAACGATCGATAGACAGGTAAAGGGCGTTTTCATTTAAATCTATTTTTTAGTATGATTCCATTAAAAGTGTTTTAACTTTTGGCAGTTATCATCTAATTTTTTGTCTGTCTTTTGTGAGTGGCGTGTAGAAAGGTATAATAGTGTGTATTATCTTCTTGTGAGCCAAATCATATGCTTACGTAATGTTGAGAATGTTCTAAAGTTGATAACTGGCCGTGAAGAGATCATGATCATGATGTGGATACAAAAATAACTTGTTTGTCTATCCATATACATTACATGTGTTTGTGTATGGCTGCGCCGAGAAGGTGGTTGTT